ATAGGGATTAGTGTTTATCTTAACTTATTTGAAGTTATTTAAACTTGATTTATCCCTACAGCAAAGCTTATATGAAGGTGTATCATAACTTATTTTTAATTATATTTATAGCAACAAATATTTTGTCTAATCTTAAATTGTTTGAACTTATATAAATTTATTTTGTTTGAATTAAGTCATATAAGTTACACCATAAATATCCTAAATACGTTCAAACTGATGGTTGAGGTCCAGTAATATATATGTTTTATTTCTATCACGCCCCCTTACATGAGAGTCTTCACTTTGAAAGGAAAGGTGGATTAGATTCGAACTCGTGACCTTTGTGTTACGCTGACTTTTGATACCATGTTAGAGGACCAATTCAACCAAAAACTTAACTTGATGGTTGAGGCCCAGGAATATGTTTTATACTATATCAAAATAATACATCATTTAAATGGTATTAGAGTTTTAGTATTTCTATTTTGTCCCCAAAAATTTGGCGTTCTAGTTCTAATCATAGTAGTTTAGATTTTTTTTTTTGTTTTTAGGCACTTAGCTTCTGTTTTAGATTAATACACTAGTCAATTCACACATTTGATCATAATACTTCGTATCGTTAATTATGTATTCTTAAAAATTATGAAAATTGATAGATTGACATAAGATACTAACACTTGTTTATACATGCTAGTAAAAATTTATAATCAGATGGGAGACATTTATATAATACAGCAATAAAAATGTTAGTTGTTGAGAGGGATTCAAAATCCCATCCTTGCAATTCAACACCATTATTTTTTAATTTGATTTTGAAATTACCAATGACATTAACCACCAACCTATTCTACATTTCTATATTGTCAAAAAATTACCTATCCTATTTACTTTTCTAATAATATTTCTAAGAAATCACAATATCTGAAACTATTTTTCAATACAAGGAATATATCCTATGCGTTTGAGAGTGAGGAATAGCTCATGTGGTTAGAGGTTCTCTTTCAACTTTAGAAATCGATGTTCATTAAACGTCTTTGTAGCTATTTAAACGCCAAAAAAAAAAAGGAAGCTATATGCCTATATCCCAAACATTTATATTGTAGTGTACATAATGCAAAAGCCAGATTATCATAAGTGGAGAGAGGGACTTATTTGAGAGTGAGAGATTGCTCAAGTGGTTAGAGCTTCCCTCCCAATTCCAAAAGTTCCTGGTATCTATTCTCATTACACGCTTTTATGGCTTAAAAAAAAAAAAAGGGGGACGAATTTGGACAAGACTACTTTTCATGTGTTTCCCTAAAGATTTATTTATATGGTGTAAAAAATCGAAAATTTCCCTGTTTTTAAGGGACATGATACTACTGTCATAATATTTTTTTTTATCTTAGTTTGGTGGCTACAACATTTAGATTTCCAAGATGTTACACAGTTTAGTTCGTGCGTAGAATTAAGCATCGACATGCTCACATTGATGTTATTTGGGATTTTATGTGTTGAAAAAAATTGCTACCCAATCATAATATATGTGAGGTGACAATTAGCTAGCTTTTTTTTTTTTTGACACAGACAATTAGCTAGCTTGATCGATGTGATAGGCTTTGAAATTGTAGCACATCCCTTCTCCTATTCCACTCTTTCTGTGCTAAATATTTTCTCAACCTTTTTCTTTTATATATTTTTTTTTATTTAAGTTTCTTTTTTTAATTATTTTATTTTATTAGAAGGAATTGTTTAATTATTTAAATGGAATATACGGTTTTTCCTAGAAAGAAGATATCCAGTACAAAATACTGTAAAATGAAGCCCTCCCCCCCATAAAATTAGGGTTTTGAATATAATAGCTTAAGTCAGCATTACCCCTTTAGGTCATGCATTGAAATGGTACGGAATTGCAGAAAAGATTCAGTAATTTCACTGCAAATTACCCCTTTTGGTTGAAAATAATATTCGTGTAATCCATTTTGGAATGTCTAAAAACAGAATAATAATTGTAAGAATGATTATTTTAAGTTATTAAGGCTATGATTGGTTCAACTTTTTTAACTTATTTTAGAAAACAATATTTCATACAACATAATATATTAATATAAATTAATTTTATTATTCTGTAAAAAAAATTTAATTCTATTTTTTTTGATAATATAATACTTCGTATAAGTTTAGTTCAAATTAATTACACACAATCATACTGTCCGATTAAATGGTACAAGCTCGAATAAGCTAATGTAAATTTAGTTGTATCCAATTGAATCTTTTGATTCATTAATTATTTAAGAGTTAAGATATTGTCAACTTTCTATATAATATGTATAATAATGTATAACATAATTAATTCTATTGCGTCTTGGAGTCTTGGGGTGAATCTTTTATATAACATACTACTTGTCTACTTGATATAGCATTGGAGTTCTGTAAAATAAATATACAACCATATATGATGCATAATCTAGTCTTCCTACCAGTCTTATTTATAAATCTTACTATCTTCTATCCAAACTACTTCATTTAACTTTTATAAAGTCGGTTTATACGATCTTAATATGGACTATCTAACACTTTTCGATGCAAATTTTATAAAAGTGTATGCAATACGCTAAAAATGGTTTACTTTTTATCTTTCAACTAATTTTTTACGAAAGTGTTGCCTTGTTGGTGTGGAGTTTTTAGGTGTCGATAGTAATTTGTACAAACCCTATGATTTTTTTTTCTTTGTTTTTTTTTTTTTTTTGAGAAACCTTATGAATTAATCAACTTCCAGAGACATATAATATTTAATTTAAACCCAAAAATACAGGATTCCTTATCATTCAAGTACAATATATTAATGCAGGCTTCCTTACTCAAGTACAACAAAAATTTATAAAGGACTCCATCAAATGTATATGCTCTATATGTTAAAATCCGAACAATTGTAAGAAATGATGTAAAACTCCATATTTTCTATTATAAAATTAGTAAATTCATATCTCAACATTTTCAAACTTTCTTCGTTTATTTTGTCCTGTTTCTGATAGTCTTCCGTAGCTCTAGACCCTATTCTCAACCAGATAGAGTAATATAGAGAACATAAATGTCCAGATATTTTCAAGTACATAAGTTCAATAGGTGTGTTTTCCTGCTTGAACATAGCAGTAATTCACTATAATTCTGTGTCAATTTAACTAGCTTAGCTTTTTTCTAAATTTATTTAATGTGTTACTCATATTATTATCAATAAATTACTAGCAGTATTATTTAATTTATTAGTTTAGATATAAATATATAACATGAGTTAACTCATTTAAGTACCAAAACAATGCCAAAAAATAAAAAAAAAATTAAAACTCATTTAAGTACCAAAACATTTCTATAATTAACAAACATCATTTTGCACATGGACAGCAAACAACCAGCATATGAAAATCCAGATATTATATTACGGAGTACTATTTTTGTACACAACTGGTACTAAAATCTAACTAAACAATATTGGTGGAATAACTCATATCACTATGGTCATGTTCTCTTTACTTTATTTCAAGAATTTATTACTCCTTATTTCTTTTATTAAAGTTAGATAAGATAAAATCTATTTAGAAATTTAGACCAGCCAAGATCATATACCCCATTAATAATATGTTTATGTTTGTATTAATGTAAAAGTGCATACATACGATTGCATTCTCTTCCTTTATTTGACCTTATCTAAAAATAATTGGGGATTAAACTTGATTATTAAAACTTATTTAACTTGATTGTAACTTAATAAAAGAGAGTAAATTTGATAACGTAAACTAATTAGACCTTATAGATAATGCTTGAAACTTAGCTGAACATATCTAAACTTTGTTGAATCTCAAACTTAAATTTATCAAGTTAAAGAGAACACATACAATTAAAGTTCATTCAAACCAATCAAACAATAACAAGACTAGAAAAGTTTTGATGTATTCTCAAACCAATTAGGGTTGTTACTTGTTAGGGATCGCTGATCTATGAGAATGTTTGTACATTTAATGTTAATATATGCATGACCCAACAAACTTAACTATTTTATTTTATTTTACTTCTTTCTTTGGTGCAACTCTTTATTTCTTTTTTGCTAAATTAAATAATTAATAGGGCATTAGATGGCCCACTAATGCCACCAGTAAAGAATTGATGAACCAAGGCTTTACTCTTTCTTTCATTTGATTTATGTTTAAAAAATGTTAAAGAAAATTTGATGCACACTTTTTGTTATAAGCAACTAGGTTATCCAACTGTCTAAGAACTACCTATTTCCTTATGATTTGTTTTTTCTCGTTTTGAATACACTCATTATCGGAGTACATGCTTGATTTTGGCTTGGCTTACACCCTTATAAATCTTCTACATTTTTATTTGGATGAAAAATGCTATACACGGTTGCTCCTAACATTACAAAGATAGTTTAATAAGTACTCTGTAAAAAAATAACTAACGAGAACAGAGTCATATTATAACTTATAATGATCGAAAATAAAGTAAATAGTCATATTACAACTTATTATAAAGTAAAGATAACAGATAAGAGAGGATACAAACTGGGTTTTCTACTATACTACTTTCTAATTATTTTAATATTTACTTGCAATTTAGTATAAACAAAACAATGAAAGAGATTGATTAAAGAGATTCGTTGATTGATGTCCAACTAAACCATTAAGCAAAATTATTTATTAATAGTTTATTTGTAATTAAGTGATAGGAATCCCCGTAATTAAAAAAAATAAAAATAAATAAAGAGAGAGAGAGAGAATTATTAATCAAATAATATGAATTGAGTTCACTCCAAGACATCAAAAAACTAAATTTTATAGAACTTCAATCTCATCCATTGAGAAAACAAGCACTATACACAATTAATCATATCCACACACTTTAAACACACATGAAACCACACACTCTTACATAGAGTCATTAATCATTCCATTCCATCCACTTTGAACCCTAAAATCATGAATAATCAACAAAAGATTTATACATATAGTTTAGGAAAATACTAAACCATACATACCTTAATCAATATATCCTTGGTTGTATGTCCTGTCCATGAATGCACAATTATGGCCTTGGACTTGATTGTACTCAGAATTCACAACCATTGTACCTTCCATTGTAGTAGATATTGCCCCAAATTGCCCTAAATCCATGGAAAATGCCCTAGCTAGAGCTTCATCTTGAGAATCATCAATCGAAGAAGAAGCCGTGGTGGCCAAGAATTTCTCAATGATACCCACAGAAGCCATATGATCTTCTAATGGTTGTTGTAGGTTTACTTCATTAACCCTCATAACATTATTAAGACAATTAGGGTTTTCCTCCATTTCCAAAGGGTATTCTTTAATATTATTAATATTAGTATTATTCTTGATTAATAGCTTCTCTTTTGTCCTCTCTCTTGCCCTAGCTCTTGCTTCCTTCCTTTTCTCATTAATTTTAAACATTATTCCCCCCTTCTTATTATTGTTGTTATTACTATTATTTTCTCCCATTTTCTTATTCATTATTTCTTCAGACAATATCTCTTTGTTATTACTACAATCACCTTTAATCATTTCTTCTAAAGGAGATGAAGGTAAGATACTTGTGCAACTCTTGTCGGAAAGATCCTTAATAGCCGCCTTTGATTTGTTAAATAGCCACTCAATCGTCTTGCTCGCCTTGTCGAACCCCAACATATCTTGTAGATCAAAGAACTTCCTTGCTATCTGGAGAGACAACCTCATCCTCCGGTCCCTCGGCCCATGAGCGGTATGTATCTTGCTATGCCTATCTTTCTTCCCTGTCCTTCTTTTTGATGATCCTCCTACACGGTCTTGCCTCTTCTTGATCCCTTTCTTTGCTGCTGCCTTCTCACCGGGATTGTTAATCCCTCCAATGCGTTGATCTACGTTGGTAGTTTCATCTAGGGGTGAGCAAAGACCCAGGGTACCCGGTACCAGACCCGGAACCGGTTAGGATCCGCCGGGTCCGGACCCGGAACTGGTCCCACCGGTTCCGGGACCGGGTCCAAAATGTCGGACCCGGTTGTAACCGGTTCCGGGACCGGGTCCTAAAATTTCGGACCCGGTACCCACTGGGTACCCGGTTTAAACCAATTCCAGTTCCGGGTACCCGGTCCCGGATCCAGACAATCCGGGTACCCGGAACCGGTACTGATTTAGTTATAAAAAATTATTTTTTTTTTAAAAACCCAACAATCCACAGTCCAATACAACATTAGGCCCATTTCATCCAATTCATTTCTGCTAGGGTTTCTGTCAGCCACTAAGCCTCCTCATTTCATTGAATTCATTTTTGCTAGGGTTTTGTTCTTCTCTGTTCATTCTCAATCTTCTCTGTTCATTCTCAATCTTCTCTGTTCTCCTCTGAAAATCTCATCTTGTCTTCTTTCGTTCTCATCAATTCACTGATTCTCGGTCTTCTTTCGTAAGTATTTTTCTCTTGGTACTCAAAATCTCATCCTCTCTTTCGTTCTCATCAAGCCACCGAACGACTGTCTCTTTCGTAAGTATTTTTCTCACTTTGTTTGCTTTTTGTTTCATCTTGCATATGTAGATCTCTGGTACTGTTTATTGCTGCTTGCATTTTCTTTGGAGATAGTTAGAGTGTTTATGTTAATTTTAATTTTTATTTTCTTCAATTTCTGAGGGTGTTACGAGTGTTTAATATGCTGAAATCAATGAATTGGTACAAATTGACTGCACTTATAGTCTTTTTCTGCAATTTCTGGGTGTTTGAATAGATTCTTATTGAGTATTAATTGGTGGGTACCATTTTTAGTTGCTGTACATGTTTAGTTCAGTCATTGCTTTTATAGAAGTTGTTGTTTGGCTGTTAACATTGTGGTGTTGATCTCAGTACATGAGGTGGGTACACTGGGGTTTCGTTTTAATGATGTTATGTTTGCTGCTTGCATTCTCCCTGATAGAGTTAAAAACATTGGAAGAAACAGAGTCAATAACTCAATGTTCTATCTTTTGGCTTTTACCACTTGCGATGGATTAGTGGAAAAATTGCTTTAGAGGAGATATTTCCCAAAGTTCAAAAATTTTTTGTTGAATTTTTTTCCTGACTGAATGATTAAATAAAAAAATCATACTACACTACACTACAATCCCATCTTCTGATCACATTCACCTTGCATCTTTGCAATAGTGTTTTTTTTTTTTTTTAATCTAGTTATCATGATATTGGTTTACCTTGTTTTTTCAGATTTTCAGATCTATTTCTTGTTTTATTGAGCTGGTCTTTTCTGAAATTTGTAGTTGTGGAGAAAGATGTAGATGGTGATGCATGTGCAGGAACTACAGTTGGATTTCTATGTAGAATTCTGCTTGTTTAAAAGGTTTTTATAGAGGAGAAAGTGTTTCAACAACTAAAGGAACCTTCTTTTCATAAGATTAATTACCATTTTTTCTTTATTAAGTTCCAATTCCTTTTTGTATTCTTCATGAAGATGATGTACTAGGATCTGTGCATATTGTCTCTCCTTTCTTTCTTTGTGTTTATGTGAGTGAGACAATATCAGTTCTGACTGTTGTATGTATTTGTGTAATGCATATAATCACTCTCACTTTGTGTAATGTTTATGTCTTATTAAAGTTTAATTTGTTCCTATTTCAGAACTATGAGCAATACCGACAATTCGTCAGTCCCTATGGATGATGAAAGTGAGGTTGGAAACGAGAATGCAACAACCAAATCAACCAAGGTTGGTGACAAGAGGAAGTCTGAATACTGGAACCATTTTTGGGATTTTAGAGATCCAGTAACCAAAAAAATTGTTCAAGTCAAATGCAAATATTGTGAGAAAATGCTAACAGGTAATACTAATAATGGAACTTCTTCATTAAAGAAACACCTTGGTGCATGTTCAAAATACCCTCCAAATGTAGACAAAAAGCAAAAACTCATTTCTGTTTACAAGTCTCCTGAATCTGATGCTACTATAGTCTCTAATTGGAAATTTGATGAAACTGCTTGTAGACTTGGTTTGGCAAGAATGGTTATTGTTGATGAACAACCATTTTCTATTGTTGAGCGTGAAGGTTTTAGGTATTTTTGTAGTGTTGCTGTACCTCAATTTCATATACCTTCACGTTTTACAGTTGCAAGAGATGTGAAGAATATATTTGTTTGTGAAAGTGGAAAATTAAAGAAATTAATTGGGTGTTTGAAATCGAGAGTGTCACTAACAACTGATTGTTGGACCTCCATTCAAAATTTTAATTATCTTTGTTTGACTGCTCATTTTATTGATGATAATTGGAAGTTGCATAAAAGAATTTTAAATTTTCAATTAATGGATAGTCATAAAGGTAAGGAAATTGGAAAAGTTGTGGAGGCATGTATTCTTAAATGGGAGATTGAGGATCGATTGTTTTCTTTAACTGTTGATAATGCTAGTTCAAATGATGTGGCGGTTGGATATTTGAAAACACATTTTCATGATAAACTTGTTTTGGAGGGTTCATTTTTTCATATGAGATGTGCTTGTCATGTTCTAAATTTGATTGTGAAAGATGGTTTATCTAGTGTGAAGTCTTCGATTGCTCGAATTCGTGCTGCTGTTAGATATGTGAGGAGTTCACCTTCTAGAGCTAAATTGTTTGCACACTCTTCTATGTTGGTTAAAGTTTCTTGTAAAGGTTCAGTTTGTCTTGATGTGGCAACTAGATGGAATTCTACCTTTCTCATGCTTGAAACCGCATTGAAATTTGAAAAAGCTTTTAATAGGTTTGCGGAAGATGATCCTGATTTTAGTAGGGAACTCAAGGATGGAGTACCTACACAAGAAGATTGGGTAAATGCTAAAGTGTTGTCTTTGTGTTTGAAATTATTTTATGAGTCTACAAAGAAAATGTCGGGTAGTTTATATGTTACTACAAACTTGTATTTTCACGAGGTTTTGGAGGTGTTAAGTTGTTTGATAGAATGGGAAAACTCTACAAATATGGATATTCGTATTATGGGTAGACAAATGAGGGAAAAGTTTGATAAGTATTATGGGGATCTCGGTAAAACTAATATCATGATGTTAGTTGCGGTTGTTTTAGATCCTCGATATAAGCTTAGGTTTTTGAAGTATTCTTTTAAAAAACTTTATCCTAACGACTTTGCCAAAGTCGATGTTATTTGTGACAATTTGTATGACAATGTTCAGAAGTTATTTAACCATTATGATGCTATTATTGCTTCTTCCTCTTCCAAGAATAATCGTAATATTAATGTTGCCAATGTGGATAATGGTTCTGAAAACTTGAGCTCTTCAAATAGTGAGCAAATGAAAAAGTTTTATGATGATTTTGATGAGGAAGAAAGTGATTTTATTGTTGAAAAAAGTGAATTGGATTATTATCTTGAAGAAGCTCGGGAGAGAAGGGTTGAAGGGGAAATGTTTGATATTTTGGGTTGGTGGAAAGAAAAAAGTGACAAATACAAAGTATTGTCAACATTGGCTAAGGACATTTTGGCTATACCAATTTCTACGGTTTCTAGTGAATCCGCATTTAGTACATCGGGTCGCATACTTGATCAATTTCGTAGTAGTTTGGGGCCAAATATGGTGGAAGCTTTAGTTTGTACTCAAGATTGGTTAAGGGCGTCAAATGTATGCATTGATATTGAGCGCTTCCTTGAGGATGTTCAAAAATATGAAGAAGGTAATACACTAATACTTCTATTATTTTGTATATTTATCTATTTTATTTCTCTAAGTTTATTACTTATATTGTTTACTGTTTTTTTTAGAATTGGATGGTAGTGACACTGGCATCACACAAGTTAATGAATTTGTTGGAAATAATTGATGTGACAAAGGTTTGTATAATTGTATTCTTAATTATATTGTATGAAAAGATATCAAATGACAAATATTCTAAGGACATTTTGGCTTTTGTTTATAGGGAATTTGTGCTTCCTTGTTGGCTGCTGCCTCTTTGCTTTGTTGTCTGCTGTATGCTGTCTTTCTCCGTTGCTTAGATGGTTGCTGACTTGCTGCTGGTCTTGTTGCTGGCTGATGGTGTGCTCAGCTGCTGCCTGCTGATGGTGTGCTCAGCTGCTGCCTGTTGCTGCCCTTCCTTTTCTTCCCTTTTTTTTTTTCTGAACTTTTATTTAAGTAGTTGTTTTGGTTATGTTTGGATGTTTGGACTTTGCAGCATTGTTGAAGTTTGTTGTATGTATATTTTAGGTTGTTGAATTGGTACTTTTTGGCTTATTAGTTTGTAATATTTGTATTTTGAAATATTTGTATTTTGCTAGCCTCCAAAACTAATTTAGGGATATTATTATGTTAATATAACTAGCCTGCAAAATTCCATTATATATAATAATATATTATATAACAATTATAAAGAAAAAAACAGTATTTTACTACGTTGAATAATACCGGGTACCCGGTTTTGGAACCGGTTCCTACCGGGTCCGGGACCAGTTCCAAAAAATTTGGATCCGGTATTAACCGGTTCCGGGACCAGTTCCAATTCTTGGGACCCGGTTATAACCGGTTCCGGATCCGGGTATTACAAATATGACCGGGTACCCGGTCTTGCTCACCCCTAGTTTCATCGATCGTACTCGATACTAGTGATGGTGGTGGTGGCGGTGGTGGGGGAGTGTTGTCGGGCAAAATGGTGTCTAAAAAAAGCTCATCATCATCAAGCAAGTGACTTGGAAAGTTATTAAAGAGATGATCATCAAAAGGGTGGTGATGGGTATTACTTTGATAAATAGGAAGAATACTATTTGCATTGTAATTTGAATCAAACATGGTTACATTTATTTGTCTTTTGATGGTGAAACTATGATAATAATAATTAATTACTACTCCTAGTAGTAAATAAAAAAAAAAAAAAAAGGTTAGGGTTCTTAGGGAGGGATGGAGGGAGAAAGATCTAGATGTTTGTTGAATATAGTTGTTGATAATGGGTAGCACATAACTATTACAGGAGTTCTTTTATTTACTTTTTAACATGTACGACAACCATTATGATAAGGTGGGGCAAAAGAAATTAACACTCTCTCAGTCTCAATTTACTTGTCCTATTTTTCTCCATTTTTATATTTAGTGTATCAATTTACTTCATTACTTGCTTGAACATTCATATTTTAAGAAATTATTTCATCTAACTTTTTCTTTAGTTGGATATATTTCATACTTAGCTTACTCATTATTCAATTTTTCACTTTACGTTTCTAATTACATAAAAACGTGTGATTGAGGATTGGTGCGGATGATAATACTATCACATCAGGAATGTAATGTGATTGAGGAAAGATTAGCAACTTTTGAAAACCAACTCAATCAAAAGCTTAATCTAATAGTTGAAATTTTAGCGATATTATTATATTTTATTTTATTTTAAAATTTGTTTAAAATGAAAGAAAAAGGAAATTGGCTTATCAGAATGGTATGAATTGAACCAGCCCAAATTTAGGGCAAAAGATGAAGAACAACACAGGAACATGGACCAAAGCAAGAAACAGCAGTAGGTAATGTGACATTTCACGTGGTACTAGATTGATTGAAGTAACCCTTCTCTCAGAAGAGAGAGAAAATGCATAGAGTACATGGTTAATAAGAATTG